TTTTTTTTAACAGACATCTTTAGACATTTTTCTGTTTAAAGAATAAAATCAGAAAGTAACAAATTTTATATTTATTTTCATCAGATGTTCATCTTTATATATTCAAGGACGGGAGTGCTCACTGTAAACTTATTTCGTACTGTACTAACTTCGCGAACTAACCTTAGTAAGGTGTAAGCGGACAGTATACATGGCTGAACGCGGTCAACACATGTCCCGTTACAGTAACATTCAAATGTAATGCTCTTCTCGCTTTTTTAAAATTTTTTAAAACCATGATATGAATAGGACAATAAGATCCTTTAAGCCTTTTTTATCAGTAGCAAACAGTTTTCACCAACAACACGAACAGAAAACATTTATAAAAAGAAAAAAATTCAAGATCATCGGAAACTTTTCTGTCAACTAACTGTCTGCGTTAATACAGATCTTCAACAACGACCATAGATAACATAATAAAAAGTTTCAACAACTATCCATACACTGCCACCCAGCCACCTAAAATCAAAATAATTTATTTTATGAAGTCTAAGAGGTAGAAAAGCTTTTTATAATTGATTAAATATTAACGGATCAATAGAAAAACCCTAGCTTCCTTATCAAAGTTGACACATCTTATACAATTTAGCAAAAGTCCGTCATTCTTTTCAGTTGTAGTTTGCAAGATTTTGAAAACGCATGTTAAAATCATTAGATAATATTTATTTTGTATTATTAATTAGATTCGAAAGAATGAACTATATAAGAGTTTTGATCTTAGCTAACCCAGTAGTTATAAATCTAAGCTATTTGTAAACCCAATTCAAAAGTGGACTTCGATTTGGTGTCTCAATACTTGTTGTTGTGACACAACAGTGCGAAGTTTCTACTCTAGTTTTAGCAAAATAATAGTTCTATAACATGAAGAACAGTATTAGTCTAGTGTTTTGTGAAGATTTTTATGTTTTTTAAAAATAAATACCATGAAAAAATCCTCTTTGTTGAATTTAGCCCTTAGTGTTGGCTTCAAACTAAGGTCAAACGAGTTTTTTTACCATCAGAAAATGACAACTAATCTGAGGAGGAAACATTTTTCGGTGAACTCTTCCGATTTCGTTTGTTCAGACGTCATTCGATAAAGTATATTGAGATAAGAGAAAACCTAAAAGTGTTCGAGCCTATGGCACTTTAAGATCCGATTTTCTGGAAAACTGGACCTTAAAGAGCCATGGGCCCGAACTCTTGTAGGTTAACTCAATATACTCTATCGAATGACGTTTGAACAAACGAAATCGGAAGAGTTCACCGAAAAAGGTTCCTTCGTGAGAGATAATAACAATTATATTTTTTTTATACATGACGAGCGTTTAAGAAAAAGTTTTCCGACGTCAAATTTTATTCGAATAATATCATAATATATATTCCGAGAGTATGATATATATTCTAAGAATTCATGTAGATCAGATACTCCTAGTTCAAGAAACACGTATGAAAGTGTATAACGACTTCATCAAACATTATAAAATTACAGATGTTTGACTTTTTCGCCTCTAATCATCTGTATTGTGTGATAAATAGAGATATTATTTATTTCTCAGGTGTATCTTCTGCGACTCTGTAAACCATGAAGGCTTTAATTCACTTGAATCTATTACTCATACACTATAGCAACAGTAGACCCCATGACAAAAGCTCAAAAAACGAAGTTTATTTTAGCGTTGTTTAACAACTAAAGCTTTTATTAATGGGCCACACTTGCAGCCTACACATTTTTGATTACAATGAGACCTCTCTCAAGTCCATATGATCTTTCTTTGCAAAGTTATAGAATTTACAAGAAAAGCCCTAAATTAATTTCAAGCTACTTATTTCTCTAGCTTGTAGTTGACAATGAATATTTAGGGCTTTTCTTGTAAATTCTATAACTTTGCAAAGAAAGGTCATGTAGAGCTGAGAGAGGTCTCATTTTAATCAAAAATGTGCGGACTACAAGCATGGCTCATTAAGAAAAGTTTTGGTTGCTTCTGAAAACCTGTTTTTCCAGAAAACCGGAAGCCTTCGAAGCCTTACGGGCAGCTCTTATATTAATATTTAGAATCAGCATCATCGATAACCTATAACCCACTAGATTTCGTTGAAAAAGTGAAGGGGCACTTAAAATCGTTCCCTCGTTAGTTTATCTTCGCGGTGTAGAGATCACCCATATAGCAGCCTTACTGAAGAGTGTCGTTGTTAGTTTAAAAATGGTGAAAATACTGGGAAAAAGCGATTGATAAAACTTTATAAGTCATTTACTTAGAAACTAAAATCCTACAGTCTGAGATTTATGATTGCAACGCAAAAAACCAAAACACAAAATTTTTTAGTCCTTCTACTTACGATCCGAGAAATCCTCCAAGGTCGGCTATTAACATCGGAAATGTATATGCTGGTTGTTGTGTGCTGACGCTAACAAAATAATTATTTTTTGCAGTTATGACCATTTCAACGTAATTCATTCTAAAGTGTTCAAGTGTGTTTGAATAAAAATCATTTGGTAATGAGATGTTAGTCTTGGCAGCTAGTTTTTCAACTTCTTTAACTAATTGATCAATATGCGTATGTGCTGGTGCTTGTAATGACGAAACGAAGAGATTGTATTTACTTGATGAGCACTTTTTCAAACAATGTGGACATGTTTGTTGATAATTAGTTGAACGAAATATTTCCATTTGTTCTTTTACGATATTATTAATGGAAGAATCATTTATGTTGCAGTAAGAAACTGATTTAAGTTCACCATTAACTAATAATTTTTCTATTGGAAAATGTAAAAGTGGAACACATCCGCATGCTCGATAAATGAATTTCAACTCACATAGATTGACACATAATGATTGATCGTAACCATAATCATTTTCACCGAAACCTTTTGACATTAAATAAGCTTGATCGCTCAACATTTCATTTGTACATCGTTCATATGAACCTCCAAGACTCGTATAATTCTCTTTCCTGAAAGTAATCATATAAAATTGTCCTGGTTGTATTAACTGGAAATCAGCGGCTGTGTGCACTTCATCGTGATGATGAGTAAACACAACAATACCAGGATAATTTCGATTCGATGGAAATGTCAAATAATCATGCAAATAAAAGCGCAGCGATAGTCCATTATCCGTTAAGCCTTGGCGAACGGAACGAATTGATGAGTTATTATTCAACCTATAATTATTAATATGCTCTGAGAATTATAGACTTTTATACAGCTGAATAAAATATAACCCATATCAGCTGTACACAATCTCAAACAAAAATGTATGGTCTACCAAACCGTGTAAGTGGTCCTTAGATTCAATGATTACAATCTTGACTTTTTTCCTAGTACATTTATCTCTATAACGTTTTACTCTATACGATGACGAAGTATGCCGAATAAATAGTTCTAGGCTGATGTAAATAATCTTTCGAACTTTTATCGATAAAAATTGTTGAAGGGATCATTTTCTAAATTATCAGCTCATTTCATCAAAAATAGCTTAATACACCGCAAAATGTATTTGTTAAATTGTCCGCATGCTGCCCGAATGACGTGAATGATCCCAAGCGTTTCTCCTCTTAGTGTTGATAAATTACTTTCGAACTTCCATATATTCATCAACGTTAGGCTTACAATCACTATCCGTGTCACTTTTTTGTGTGGAACAGTTTCGTTTTTTTTAACTATTTTGTGAAAACGTCCTAGGACTTGTCCGTTTAAAGTTTATATTGTGGTTTGCAGAAGGTTTTTTGTCAGTAGCTGTAAACTTTCGGGGTGAAATTGTGATTGATCAAACTTCAATATAAATTCGGTGTTTACAGCTACTGAATGGACTAGTAACGGACAGTGCATTATTGATCTGATGTTGCTGGACACAAGTTTTAAAAATTATTACCATGTCTCTTTTACTCTCAGTGCTCTAATAGTAAACATATGATGCATTCTATCGATAATAGTGTTTCAGAGTATAAATGCATCAAATTATACAGAAGTATAGACTGATAAGCAGCACGTAACTAGGGCTGTGACAGTTACCAGTTATCGTTACCACCGTTACTCGGTAACGGTAACTGCTGAACAGTTCCCGTCCTTGGTAACGGTAACGGATAAGCAGTTACCGTACAAGTAACGGTAACGATCAGTTACAAGTAATGGTAACTGTTCAGTATCTCTTTCAAGAGTCAAATCTCTAAATATCTAGGTATCCAGGGTGAGGGTGAGGCTACGAACTTTCACCCTCACCCTGGATACCTAGATATTTAGAGATTTGACTCTTGAAAGAGATACTGAACAGTTACCGTTACTTGTAACTGATCGTTACCGTTACTTGTACGGTAACTGCTTACACGTTACCGTTACAAAGAACGGTAACCGACCAGCAATTACAGTTACTGTAACGATAATGGTAACTGTCACAGCCCTACACGTAACTACTTAGTGAATCACTCTACACTATTCATACTGAATGTATATGAAGTGTCATGTGGCAATTAATTATCTCATAGAAAAGTTATTGAAAATATGCTCAACTTTTGAGACTCATTACTTAATAATTAAAACATGTATCGAAAAAATAACTTTAGCTGTTTCACAAATCTGTACGATTAGTGATGCTATGATCGAGTGGCTGAATTGAAGCAGAGAGTAGGGTGTGGAAGAACGAAGAAAGAAAAAAGAAATTTTTGTAGTGAAACAGAATAAACCTCTCCGAGTTTCACTCGGTCGGCTTAAAAAGACGTTCTCAAAGAATATTTTTATAAATATTCCATTGACTGTAAGTCTATGGTCATACGAAAAAAAGTTGGTCATTCGAAAAAGTAGAAAGTGTTTGTGTGTGTTTGTTTGTCCGTACAGAGGTGTGACGGACGTAAGTACACACGGTGACGGACGTACATAGATATAGTGACCAGTGAGTGTGACGGACGTACATACATATAGTGACCAGTGAGTGTGACGGACGTACATACATA